TTGTAATAGCTACAAATTGTAAACAATCCAGTGGTCCATCAATAATAGAATTGATACATAAATTATAATGTATTCATATAATGAAATTCAGTATCACAATGTGTACAGAAACTTGCCCGGACATGGATGAGTTCCATTTATAGGCATTCCTCATTTTATTGTGCACCTCATTGTGCTTCACAGATATTGCATTTTTACAAATTGAAACTAAGACCCTTCATCAGCAAAAATATTATAACTTGCATTTTTAGCAATAAAGTATTTTTTAATTAATGTATGTATACTGTTTTTATAAAAAGACAGTGTTATTGCAAACTTAATAGACTATAGTATAGTGTATACATAATTTTTATATGCACTTGGAAACCAAAAAATTTGTGACTCACTTTTTTCTGGTATTTGCTTTATCATGGTAGCATGGAACTGAACCTGCAGTATTTCTGAGGTCTGCCTGTATATCCCACCAAAATTAAAAAATATTTTCAAGTACATATATACTCATGTTCATAACAGCACTATCCACAATAGCCAAAATGTGGAAACAGATCAAATGTCCATCAGTGGAAGAATTGATGAACAAATTGTGGTATATACACAAAATGGACTGTTACTCATCCATAAAATAATGAAGTACTGATACATGCTACAATCTGGATAAACCTCAAAAACATTATGCTAAGTGAGAAAGTCAGACATAGAAAGTCACATACTGTATGATTCCATTTATATGAAATATTCAGAATAGATAAATCCTTAGAAATTAGTGGTTGTCAGGAGCTGTGGATATAGATGGGGTAATGGGGAGAAATTGCTTAATGGGCAAGGAGTTTTACTTTAGAGTAAAAAAATTTTTTTAACTGGATAAAGGTGGTGGTTGCACAAAATTGTAAATGTACTAAATGTCATAGAATTTTCACTTTAAAATGGTTAATTTTATGTAATGTGAATGTCATCTCAATTATTTTTTAAAGTATGAATTCATGTGATATGAGATCATTCATTGCTCCATTGCTTGTAAAAGCAAAAACTATAAATAACCCAAATGTTCATCAACAGAATACTGGCTAAATACATTAGAGTATATCCATACACTGGAATACTATAAAAAAAGAATGAGGAAGCTTTATACAAACTGATGTGAAAAGTCCCTAAGATATACTGTTTACTAGGGAGAAAAGGTATAGAAGAGTTTATATAATATGCTATTTCTGTTGAAATGGGGCAAATTATACCTAGTAGTAGAATTACAGGGTCATATGGTAATTCTATATTTAAGTTTTTGAGGAACCAGTAAACTGTTTTCCACAGCAGCTGAACTATTTTACATTCCTACCAGCAATGTATGAGGTTCCCAAAATTTCTACAATACTTGTTATTCTTCAACATGTGTTATTTTTTATTATTATCATCATTATTATTATTATTATTATTATTATTATTATAGACATTCTAGTAGGTATGATGTGGTACCTCACTGTGGTTTTGGTTTGCATTTCCTCAATGACCGATGATGCTTGAGCATATTTTTGTGTGCTTGTTGGCTATGTGTATATCTTCTTCGAAGAAATGTCTGTTCAAATCCTTTGCTTATTTTTTAATTGAGTTATTTGTCTTTATATATTCTGGGTACTGGACTCTTATCAGATATATGTTTTGTAAGTATTTTCTACCATTCTGTAGGTTCTCTTTTTATTGCACCTAAGTTTTTAATTTTGACAAAGTCCAATTGTTTGTTTTTTGTGCTTTTGGTGTCATATCTAAGAATCCATTGTGTAATCCAAGGTAATGAAGATTTACCCCTAAGTTTTCTCCTAAGATATTTATGGCTTTAAGCTCTTATATTTAGGTTATTGATCCATTTTGAGTTAATTTTTGTATGTGGTGTTAGGTAGGAGTATAACTTCATTCTTTTGCTTCCTAATTGTGAATATCTAGTTGTCCCAGCACTATTTGTTGATGAGACTATTTTTTTTCCATTGAATGGTCCTGGCATAATTAAAAAGGAATCATTTAAAAGCATCTGTTGATCAAAAGACACCACAAAGAAAGTGAAAAGAAGCTCAGACAGGAAGCAATATATAGAACATACAAAGGATTTGTTGCTTTCTAGTTATATAAAGAGAACTTACAAAGTCAATAAGAAAAAGACATTCCAATAGAAAAATAATCAAAACATGTGTTTCCCCATAGAGTAAAAAGTGAATGGCCAATTATAGGTTGTTATAAACAGAAGAATGATGAATTGAGTTCATATAATGTTGAGTAATAAAGCAGGAAATTATACTTAACATTCTTCTGTCTATATGCATTTTTAAAGCATATAGATTTAATTAGTAAATTGTATAGGATTATATATACTTATTTGGAAAAAATATAAAGAAATCAAGGAAATGATAAAATTAAAGTTCAGGATAGCAGTTACTCCTGGAAATGTGAGAGAAAGATATGATTAAGGAGGCACAATATATGTAGTTAAGATTCAGATTTAGCTGCATTTGACAGAAACAAAATATAAGTTTATATATAATATACTTACATAAACAAGGTGTAAGTTGATATCTTTGTCTTGTAAAAGATAGAAATATTCTAGGCATGACAGCTACTCTATATGGTTATCTAGGAGCCAGGCTCCTCCCAATTCGTTTGATCTTTTGAGCATTACTTTCATCCATATGGTTATGGTGGCTCACTACCACAGCTATGTTACAAGTAGCAAGGTAGAAGAATGAAGGAATAAGTTACCTTCTTAAGGTCACTTCATGGACGTTGCACACATTACTTCTCTTCATGGTTCTCTGGCTAGAATTTAGTAATTTATAGATGCAAGGAAGCTTAACAGATGTGCTCAGCTGAAAATCAGGAGTTTTGAAGAGGGAGGAGGAAAGCACAGATATCAGGAGGAAAGTAGCAATATCTTCCACAGGCTCCTGCAGGCGGAGTAGGAGGAAAAGGCATCAGAGGTATTATTGGTATTGTTCTGTTAAAGTAAGATGGTGAGTATAGATGTTTTTTAAAAATTATTTTATGACTTCTCTATAAATTACATGTTCGTTTGTATATATGAATGTTTCATTATTAAAGTTAAAAAAATTTAGTGGATACTTTTCTGGCATTTTTTTACTTGAATTTTTTATGCAGCATATGGTATTGTTGATCACACCCTCTAAGACATTTGAATTTTTTTTGGCAAGAATCTCCTGTTTTTTCTCTTATTTCTCCATCCATTCCTTTTCAGCCTCCTGGGCTTCACTTTCTCTGCAGGGGGAAAAAAAAGGCCTTTTCCTAGATGCCCCTCACTTGTCTCCATAATTATTTAGGATAGTTTCAAATTGGCTAATGGGTTTCCCGGATTTGGAATAATTGCACAAGAAAAGTTATTATATGGTAAATATTCAGATTTTATCAACTTTTATTTATAATGCTCTAGCCATATATGGAAAAAAGGGAGTTTAGCACATTTTTTTCTTTGTAATTTAAAATAAATGTTCCATATATCTTTCTGAACTACATCATAAAAGAACATTTCTATAGTGAGTCAAAAACATCTTGTAAATGTAAAAAAAACAGCAACCCCTGCCATACACACACACACACACACACACACACACACACACACACACACACACACACAGCACATCATTACAATAAATCTTGGAAATGACTTATAATCATGTATATACATGTTATATCTTTTTATAAAAATTCATCAATTTACTTAACCACTGAGCTAGGTATGATTATATAACCTAAGTCTTGGCCAATGGAATATAAATGGAAGTTATTACATGATAAATTTTAGCATATATTAACAGGGACTTTTTGCCCAATGAAATAGTCTCAGGCACACGTGTATTTAAAGTTTCATTCACTTAAATTTTTTTTTAAACAAATAAGATAAAATTCAGTTGGTCAGCATTCAAGTTTCAACTATATGTCAGGGATGGTGTCAAGTTCTGGGTATACAAGATTGAACATAGTCCCAACACTCAGGAAGCTAACAGTCCAAACGAAATCTAGCTTATGCTATGGCAGAGATAGATATGCCCAAGGTGCTGTAGAAACACAGAGAGAAAATGCCAAAGTTAGCCAGGAAACTCAAATTCAAAGTTGAAAAACCTAATGTAATTTATAAAATAAAAATGTTTAAAGATAGCATCTTAAGATCTCAGTTCTAATAAGCATTTTAAATATCAAAATGAGTCCTAGTGTTATTGTAGGAGATAGAGGTAAGAGTGAGGGAAAGCATATAAGTGAATTCTATTAATTTTAAAAATATTTTCTCTATAGATTTTTTCCCATTCAATGTATACTAATTTCATGACCAGAAATATAATTTTAAAATCCAGCATTTAAACACATTATGTTTGTCTTACTGTGGCAACATAACTTTTTAATTTAGCAACATGATTTTCTTAAGATTCCTGGACTCAAATCTTTAAAAACTCAAACTCATGTAACATATTGCATGTTCCCTACATATCTTTTTAAATAACATATCTTAAATTTAATGTAAACTCATAAAATACTCAGTACTTTACTATTGTTCCAATGGAGATATTGTCTGGCTTTAGAATTTACTGCAGAGACTAGTTTTATTCATTGGTTGTTAACAGGTTGCAAGGAGAAAAAGAGTACACACAACTCATAATATAGCACCTGCTCACCATCACTTACAGATCTCACTATTCTGGAGTGTAACCATTTTCTTTTGACCTAAAGCTTCTCAAACTCATTTGTTTTTATTATGACTTCATAAGATAGGATAAAGACCCCTTTTCTTAGACATTGATCTTCATTTTGAAAAACTGAACAGGGACTCCCTGTCAAGTCTCATCACATTCAAGGCCTTCAACAACTTTATGTTAAAGTCTTTCTCCAAGGTGACTTATTAAGTCAGGATTTCTTTCTGTGTTATTCAGATACTGTACTATAACTATTATATTCTCTAATTCACTTTTCAGGCAAAAATGAAGTCTTTAAATTATTCTTTTTCCTTGCAGACTTTGCCTTCAAAGGAAACAGTGTTTTTAAATACTACACAAAAGCCTTGCCTGCAGTCAACTTCAGCGTGGAGTAGCTGTGAACACAATTCAAAGTCTCAGATATTAAGAGAACATGTATCAGAGTTAGATTCTTCTTTTCATTCTGTTCTGTCATTGCCATCAGGTAAGCCTCCTTATAAAACATTTAACTGAGTATTTTCTATGGTGAAATCTAATCCTATAAATACAAGGAACCTAATAAAATTTTATTTTGTCAATTATTTTCTCACTGGTTATTACAACTAAACAGTTTTTATAGAAGAATTAAGTTGTATGCTGAGTTAATGTCTTTAATTCCTTGGAAATTTTGGTTTACTTTGGGAAATAGTTTTTTGAGTGTTAAAATTTTAGCATTTTATTGATAACATGGCTATGCTGTTGAATTGTCTCAGTAAGTCAGTGTCTTTTTTTTTTTTATGTGTTACTTTTTCCCTGCCATATTTTATTCCTCCATTTATAACCAACATTGGATTTCTTAGGAGAGAAGAAAATTGTCTATATTTAGGGATAGTCGGTTCTTGAACCCAAAGAATATCTATAATCTACAAATGAGTAAATGAGACACATACATCCCCATTTCCCTAGGTGGCCTTAAGTTTCCGGTTCTTGGTTTCTGTTGGAACACTTCCGGTCTTATATAGGGACTAACGTAAATATTGAAGGTAAAAAAAGGAAACATTCTGCACACTGGTTATCTCATGTTTGTCTCTCTATGGAAAGATATCTCAAATAGGCTTTGTTTCCTTTTCGGATTTTATTTCTAAGCATCCAGGCACTGCTCCTCTTTGTAAAGCTCCTCTTTGTAAAGTGTTTGTACCTATTCCTGCCCTGAATCTTAGTTTAATTTTTACCAGTATTAGAGTGCTTTAAGTACACCATACTTTGAAGTAATTTTCTGCCGGGAACTATTTTATTCCATCTTTGAGGAAACCTTAACAATAGAAACAAAAATATAACAATAATAATGCAGCTAACATTTAGTCTTAGCATACACTGGGCCCTATAAGCACATTACAGTTTCTTGTTTAATTCTCGCAACAAGCCTATGATAATAGATACTATTGTTCTTTTTATCTTACATATGAAAAAACAGGCTTAGAGATGTTAAATTTCTCATTTAAGATTACGCAGCTAATAAGTGATGGGGCAGGATTTGATCTGAGGTAGTCATGCTCTGGAACCAACCTAACCTTTACTCTTTACTGCCTGTTTTCTTATTAGTAAATTTGTTTCTCTGATGACATAACCCTGACAGTTGGTATAAATATCCTTCATCTTAATCCTCTTAATGTCTACTCTAATAAGATTAGCTTCCTCACCTACTAATTAGGGTTATTCTTGTCTTCTTATGTTCATTTAGTAAAAATCTGAATGCCTACTGTATACTAGGTACTAACTAGGTGTTAGGAGTATAAATACAAACAAATCCTTCAAGGCACTTGCATTCAAGTTTAAGACAACTGAAATGTAAACTTGTAAGTGTAATAAAGCATCATGAAATATTTTGATAAATTACACAGGTCACACACAGTGTAGGGAGGCACTAAAGGAGGTATATGGATGGAACAGAGACCTTCCCTAGTTACATCAAGTTTTTCCACAACTCATAAAGAACAGTAGTAGAATAGGTGATAGTCTCTTTATAAAAGTAAGTGATCTTTCTTTGAAGAAACAAACTTATGTTTTGGTAATTGGAAATATCAGAATCCTGAAATGTTTAAGCAGGTTTAGTTTTTATTTTTATTTTCATTTTGTCCTATAGTTTTTATATGATCACAGAATAGCCATCCTACCTCTGTCCCTTGGGGCAGACACTATGATACTCATGAACCCATTTTTTTTTTTTTGCATATTTATCCACACTTATGGATCTACTATTAAAATACATCATTTGAGAGAGAGATACTTCTTTAAAATCCAGACTCTTCCTGGGTCTTTCCTTATTTATGCATTCATAATTCGTTTTCTTAAAAATAAATACCTTCTTTCAATAGCATCACTTTCAATATTTCAACTGCTTTATAAAATTTTGTTTGTTTCTTATGAAAATGTTTAAGTGTCTCTTAAATGTTTTTTAAGATGATTTTGGTTTTACATTATTGATTGAAGACAAGCCCTTTAATAAATGTGTGAAGCCCATTTTATTGCTTAGCTCCTCTTTTTATCATAAAATTATAGACTATAAACAGTGAATTGAATATCTAAGTCTCTATTTAAAAGAAGAGAGCTAGTTTGGCAGTAGGTTTGAATCTTTGTAAAAGATTCATCTTAGGATTCATAATATTAAACTAAGGGAATGTGAAAGTTGCTATTTTTATAGAAGGATACATCTGAATTATAGTGGTTTTCCCTCAAGTAATTAAAACCATGTAATTATATCTTTTGGAAACCTCATTATTTCAGATGCAAAAGTTGTGCGGTGGGATGGAATGGACTTAAAAAGAGTCAGACAGGTCTGTCTGTATGTTTTATTAAAGACCCTTTGGGTACATTTGTTTCATCTGTGATAGTATTTATTAATACTTACAATTTTGTTCATCTTATGAATTATTTTAGTTTATGAAGTTGTTCATTATTAGCATTTTTATTTGATTATTTAGTACATATAATCAGTAATTCCAAAATATTGCTACTCGTATGCTTTGAAAAAGTATTCTGCCATGTCAGAAAGTTGTGACTTTTCAAGCTTTTTCTCATTTGTCTAAGCTTATGTGCTATTTATAGAAAGAAAGCAGTCTTAATATTAGAGCCTGTAAAAAGTGTTCACTGAAAATACTTTTTTTATTTTTCCAGATGTGCCTCTCCATTTTCACTTTGAAACATTGTTAAAAAAGACTGAAATAAAAGGAGATCTTGCTGAAAATAAATTTCTGGGAGACTGTATCATATCTCCATCATCTGGTATGTTATTTACAAATCTTGTATTTTATATACCTTTTATATCTTTCAGATACTTATACTTTTGTTTTCTAAGGAAATAAAATTTAACAAAGGAATAAATGTAAATCCTTAATTTTTAATATTCACTTTTCACAAATCACACACATGAATAAAAAATACACGAGAGTATTGCTAACAATGTGTGATACTTACTGAATGAAAATTCTTAAATATGGTCTATAAATATAAAAGGAAATTTAAATAAATGTGAAAAAAAAGCATTCCTGTATGGTAAAATTAATAAGGATAGCAATTATTCTTGTTGGTTTATATGTTTAATGCAATATAAATGAGGTTCTAATAGAATTTTGTCTTCTTAAAATCATTGTAAAGCCCATTGGGAAGAATAAACAAGAAACTATAAAAGGAATTGCTAGAAAAAGTATTGAGAGAATCTATCCCGACCACATAAGGAAACATGACAAAAATCTGTAGTAGTTAGCATAGATTCTATTTTGCATACATTTAGGAAAGTAGATCCATGAAGCAAACTACATAGCTTATACTTTATTATATAAGGGAAAAACTGTAAATTAATGAGAAAATGGAGAACTATTCAGTAACTACTATTAGCCTTGTGGGGGACAGTTTGTTTGCACAGTTGTTTCATATGTATCAATTCCAGCTGGTTCCAAGAATTTTAAATATAACACTAAAATTATAAAACTAAAATTATAAAACTTGAAAACTTATGAAACGTTTATGAGTACTCTGAATGGGGATGGGGACACTGTCTTTGCTTGAAAGCAATGAGAAGTATTTTGACTATCTGCAGAGCTAACCAAAAAAGCCATACAAAATGTTTACTTCTCAGAGAAATTATTCCAGGTGAAATAATCATCTACCTCAAAAACTCAAGAATCAACTGAAATACCTATTAGAATTAGTGTTCTGAAAAGTAGATTTTAAAATTCTAAAAATCAGTAGCATTTATAAATAGCAGTAATAACCAGTTAGAACAAGGAATAAATTCTAGGCACACTGACAATGAAAATTTAACATATATAAGATTAAATTTAACAAAGGCCTACATGAAGAAAACTTCAAAAGTTTACTAAGGAACATAAGAGTATATGCCTATATGGAGAGAAATACCCGATTCCTGTCAGAAGAAAGTATTGTAACTTAAGATGTCATTTTTCCTCAAATTAATTTATAATGTAATTCTAATCAGAATCACACAAGTATTCTTATTTTGGAACAAAAATTATTCTGAAATTTACATCAGAAAATATTGAATATCCAATAAAAAATTTAAAAGATCAATAAGGAGGTATCAGATATCAAAATATATTATAAAGCTATAATCAGTAAAATATTGTGATGCTAATGGAAGCCAGATCAAGGACACTGAAGAAAAAGCCAAAGAGTTCATTATATGATAAAGATATTATTTCCTATCAACGTGGAAAGAATAGTCTAATCAATAAATAATAAAAATAAACTATTCTTAGGAAGTATTCCTTATATGCCAGTAGTGGTTGAAAGGCTTTATGTTTATTAGTTGCTTTAATCTGTACAACCCTATAAAGTAGGTATTATTATTTTTCTCCTTGACTAACATTACCCAAATCACAGTTGAGTAGTGATAGAGCCAGGATTCAAATCCAAGCAGTATGACTCAGAGTACATGCTTTAAACAACTGTTTCTTTTGTAATTAGTGGCATTAAATAATGACTTGGGAAAAGATAAAATGAGATTTCTACCTTACGTAGCACATTAAAACAAATTTAAGATGGATGAATATTAAAATACGTTCCAGGTGGATTAAAGAGTTGAATGTTAAAAATTATATCTTATGAATTAGAAAAACTAGGTGTATTCAATAATAATGAAAAAAAGAATAGCTAACATTTACCAAGGACTTTTGTGCCAAACACTGTGCTAAATGTTTACTATTTCTAATTAATAAATTCAAATATTATAAATATCAATTCTGGCAAGACTGTAATTAAAATAGGACCCTCATATATTTGCGGTAGCAGTAAGAATTGATACAAGCCTTTTGGTAAGTATGAAATTCATTACAAGGCCTTTAAAGTATATATTTTGTTTAATAAGATTATTGATAAAAACTTTGTATACTTGCTCACAATAAATGACTAAACTGTTAACTCTGTACTCTGATCCATTTCTACGAACCTAGTCCAATTCTAAATATGACACCACTTTTCTTAAAAATATATTTAACATATTTGTCATAATAAAAAAATGCAAACAACTTGAAGGGCATAGTAGGGATATGGTTAACTAACACAGTGGAATATACAGCTTTTAAAAATATTGTAAGTTCATATAAGAATGAAAACATTTTTTAAATAATGTTAAGTGATGTAAGAAGGACAAAAATGTTTTACTTCTATGTGTGGTACAGTTATAACCATGTAAAAATGTTTCTTTTATCATTAAAATGCAATGCCTGTGCCTCTTGGGGATCCTGATTTGAACTCAGCTGTACACACACACACACACACGTGCACACACACACAGTTTTTGAGACAGAAATTTGATCATGGACTGATGTTGGATATTAATGAAGTGTTAGTTTTGTTAGATGTAATAATGCATGTAGTTACATAAACACACACATACTTTATCAGTTTGTTAGAGCTTCAAGGTGACAGATGTAGATAACATATGATGTATGGGATTTGCTTTAAAATACTCTAGCAAAAAAAAAAAAAAGTGGGAGAGAGATGAAACAAAATTGGTTACCAGTATGTAATTGTTGATGCTGAATGATAGGTACTTAGGAGTTCATTATCCTATTCTTTGTTGAAATTTTTTCACAGTAAAAAGTTAAGAAAAATGAAAACACTAAGGACACGAAGCAATTTCTTATCTTTAGGGAAAAAGACTAAAGAAATACAGGAAAATATAGGTTATCTTGTATTACTTTTTCATAATATAATTCTACTCCTTGGAATTTATCCTGAGACTAAACTTTTTTAAAAATAGAAAAAAGTGTATGCAGGAAGGTGATAATTTTAAGAATGTCCATAATAGAAATAATACCATGATGACACCCAGCTCTAAGAGCTAAAAAACAGTTAAATTATATTGTCTCTAATCAGAGGAATGTTAGGCAACCATCTGAAAAAATAACAATTATGAGTGTGTTATCAGATTAAAAAATACAGTCATGTATTCAAATAAAAATTATTACATTTGAAATATGAATATGCATTATATGACTGAAAGGAAATATGCAAAAATGAAATTTTATGCTATTAGATAAGTAAGGTGATTTTATTTGTTCTAATGTTGCTCTTTTATCTGACTTAAATATAGAGCAGTGTAAATATTTTAGGCACAAAATGGTAATGCATCAATAATGTAATATTAGTAATAGGGAATTAATAGAGGACATTTGAGTTGAATGCTTTAGTATTAGGAAAATCAATGAAGTATTCTTTGTATTTCAATCTCTCCTCTCCAAATAATTAAGCATTAATTAGGTTTTATCATATCTGTTTTAAATAGCTAGTCATTAATTTTTATTTTACTGTTACTGATTTCTATAGAATTAAGTAAAACGAATTCAACATTTATTGAGTACCTATTCTGTGCCAGGTAGACTATTAAGTGCTAAAGAATCAAAGGTGAATCACAGGAAATCAAAGAAATTGTAATAAGGGAAGCAGACACAAATAATTATTAGAGGATGTGATGGGCACAAATATGATAAAAGTATTCTAAAAAGAAGAGAGGGTGTATGAATGTGCCTAGGGAAAGGCAGAGGAAGGAAAGGTTAAGAGTCACGGGAAAAGGGCAACAAGAACTCCAGACAAGTGTAGCTTTTAATACTTAATTGGAATTTAGAGGAAGAATGAGAAGTGTTCAAATCATTGCTTCTTAGACTTTAATGTGTAAATTACTTGGGATATCATTAGAATGTAGATTCTGGTTCAGTAACTCTGGAATGGGGGTCTGAGATTCTGCACTTCTAATAAGGTCCCAGGTAATTCAAATGCTGTTGGCCCATATTAAGTAACAAAGTTTTAAAATGGAAACACACACATGACTTGTCATAGTGCCATGAGACAGTGTGATGCATTCAAGCATATATAAAATGGCCTGGTATTTGGGTAAATTGTGTGAAGGTGAGTAGCTGGATATATATGTGCTTTGCCAGACCTTGGATTTATTTTGGACTGCCCATTAAAGTGGACAACTTTGACAGCCCTGCTGATGTCAGATAACAAGGAAGGAGAGAAAAGACAGAGTATGGATTAAAGAGTGAGCAGATGGTTAGTTACCAATTGTGAAAAAATACCAAACAAAGCCAATTTAAGGGCCTGTACTCATCAAAATATTCAGTCACGAAAGATAAGACAATGGAACCATTTCAAATGCAAGAAAACTTTAGAGAGACCTGACAACTGAGTGCAGAGTGATCAGAATGTTCTATAAAGAACATTATAGGAATAATTGGTGAATTTTGAGTAAGATCTACATAGCTACTAGTATTTCTTGATTTTGATCATTGTGTGGCTGGCTATTATAAAAGAATTTCCTTGTTTTTTAAAAATACATGTTGACATATTTAGGGTATCATGTCAACAACTTTATTGCAGTTCAAAAAGATAAAGCAAATATGATAAAATGTTAACATTTGGAGAATCTAAGTAAAGGGTATACAGGACTTACTTGTACTATTGCAAGTTTTCTGTAGTCTGAAATTATGTCAAATTAAAGTTTATTACTTTTTGAGTGGACAGATGAGAGAGGAACAATAGCCCAACCACAGGCAAGACAGAAACCTAGGGCTCAACCTTCTTCACCTATGTTCAGTGCAGTCTTATATATTTATTTCAAATCTGGTGCTGTTATCTTCATTTCTACCACTCACAGTCCAACTTAATGATCCCTTATCTATACTGCTGAAATAGCCTTATCAACTTTTATTTCCCTCCAATCTCTGTACCAAGTGATCTTTTCAATATGCAAGTCTAATGATGTCACACTTGCCCCTCACCCCCATTCCCTTCTTATATTTCAGAGAGAATATTCTTAATAGAGAATCCCTAAAGCCCTGCCTACATGGGCTGGCTCCTACCTATTTATGGTTCGTTTTCATCATGTTTCCATACTCTGTACTACCTAACTGCTGTTGACTTGCCAAATTTGTCCTTTCCCTGCTGCCTTTCACCTTTGTACATACCATTCTCTTTCTTCCCCTTGCCATCAGATATTCTGTTCATATTTGAAATCTTTCACTTTATCTGGGGAAGCGTTTCCTAGAGCTGTCATACTATTATATACTCTCATTAACTTCTCTCAATAGTAGTTTTCTATTATACATTAGTTGCAATTGTTGAATAATGTCCGTAAACTATATTGGGGCAGAGACCATGCCAGTTTTTAGTCACCATTGTTTTCCCAAGGTATAACAGTGCCTGCTGTGTAATTGGATCTCTATAAAGTTATTGAATAAATAAATGAAAAGGATGGAAAGGAAGGCAGGAGATAGAAGAGATACTGACTGGGTCGAGGTATGTTAGGATGAAATCTAGGAGAGGATTTGAGAGCAAGAACCCAAAAGCTGGGAAGGTTACTATAAATAGGACAGATAATGTGTATAATTAGATGCTAAATTGTCATATATTTCCTACTGTTTCATTAGTCCCATTGAAACCTAACAAGACACCAAGAAGAAAAAAAGTAACTGTAAAGAACACTTTTGAATAATATTCAATAAAAAGCATAAGCTTAGTGTTTTTTTCTTCAAAATGTTTGATGTACTTTTAGAAGGGTGGTGAATTGCTTTTAGGAGAAAGGTGAACTGTTTGGAATTTGCTTTCAAATACTCCAGAAATAATTCTATTAAAACAAGTGAGCATTACTGAAACACCTACATGTGCCAGGCACGTATACATTTTAAAACCTAACTTATAATTCTAGTTCTTTTTAGAAATGAGTTTAGAATTATGCCTGCCATCTTGTTTTCTATTTATTTCACTGCAGTCTTTTTTGGGGGGCGGCGGGGGAGGGGGAGAAATCTTGGAGGCCATCTCGTTCTAACATTTTCTCTTAGTTTTTTAAAGTCACTGTTTTCCTCATCTAGTTTTGCTTTATGTCCATCTCTCATTCCTTTGCAGTAATGTTTTTATCCCTTCTCTGATAATTTTTAGGGTATCTTTATTGTGATGTGCTGTATGATTTAGATTCCTCCCCCTCTCCCCATCTGTGACACTCGAGTTGTTGAAATCTTAGGGTATCATTGTTGAAAATTTTTTGGCTATCATTTCTTCAAATATAGCCTCCCATGCATTCTCTATTATCTCCTGTTATCCCATTTTGGTTCGTCCTTTTTCATATTTCCCATCATTCTAGATTCCTTTGAGTTCTGCAATTCCTCTTCCAACCCACTGATTTTGATTTCCAGCTGTGTCCCTTCCATTATTGAGCCCCGGTAGTGATTATTTTAAATTTGAATTTTCAATTTCTAAGGTCTTTCTAGAGAGACCTTTTGCCTGTTTCTGTTGGCAATATTAGTGTTCTAAAGGCTTGCTAATCTGTATTATTTTGACCCTTAACTATTTCTTGAAATTTGTTGTACCTCTTTGTTTTATGGTGTTGGTATTCAGACTTTTGTTGGAGTCATGTGTTCTCATCTTTAAAGCTGATATTCAGTTAAGACTATTCTGTCACTATGGGATGCTCTTCATGAAAAGGGTAGAAATTTGCACTCTATACCATTTTTCAGAGGCAGTTAGGGATAGGCAGGATATGTTTCAAATGGGGCATATGGGCATTGCCTTATCTCTTCACCCATCATTTTTCTGCTCAAGGCTCCCAGATTTTTTCTTAAAACAGATAATCTCTCACCAATGAGCCTGGCTGAGGTGTTGCCATGTGTTGGCATCCTATTAGATGCTCCAAATAATTGTCTTGCTTCGTTTCCCTTTTCTCCAGGTCTAGAGCACTTTTGATGTTGATCACATTTTGGGGGTAATACTTTCCCATTTGCTTTTTGCATTGAGTTTGCTCTTGTCTAATTCCATGTATTAGTCTTTCAGAGATTCCTCAAAAATTCTGCTTTATTTATTTTTGCTTCCTAGTATGGATGTATTTATACAGATCTGTGCATGTGTCTATGTAAAAAAAAAAAAAATTGTCTAATTTTTTGAGTGCTTTGCTATCCTGAAATGAAGACCCAGTTACTGTTGGTAGGCCACATTTTTCACTGTTGGTTAGAATTTGGCACTTCAGCCTATATGTTTTTTCCATTCCTTTCCATTTCTAAACTCTTCAAAAAATAATCCATTTGATTCAGTACCAGAAATATGGGGTTCAGACAATAATCATGATGAAACTAACATTTATGAATAGTTATATATACTTATGTCTAATGCCTGTTCTCCCTATTTTACAGATAAAGCAACTGAGGCATAGAGATATTAAATGAAAGTTTTAAAAAATTCATTGCTTTAAAAAAGTGAAAGAATGGTGGTAGGCAGTCAGAGGTTGATGAAATCTGGTTCTTGCTCTTGAGAGGTCCACCTGTTGTGATTCTGCAGAATCTAACTTGGTTCTGAATTATTTCCAGCTTTAAGGGTAAGCAGGAAGTTAAAGATTCAGATCATATTCAACCAAGATTTACAGACTGAACCAATCTTCTCTATAAAATCTTGTAATTTAGAAGAATTACAGGATTTTGTAAGTTGAAAACTGTTCCCTTTTTATCCCCTTCAAATAATGGAGCAACTATAGGAAATTGGGCAATTCCTGAAGATGTTTTTAAGGAATCTTATTCTAGGTATTTTCAGTTTAGGAGTATTCCAACTTGGTACATAAGTATTTATTGTGTTAATTTTGAATGGTATATTAATATTCTGCAAAGACATAAGTAGAAACATATTAACATGTTCATTATCGGTTTGTGCTAAGGAACTAAAATGTCACATTTCCTTTCCATTTGTTTTAGTACATAAGACTTCTCTGAGTCAGTGGAGAAATGGATATTCTCCTACATGCAAGCCTCAAATAAGGTCAGAATCTTCTGCACAGCTGTTACAGGGAAGAAAGAAAAGACACTTGAGTGAAACAGCATTAGGTAGGTTAAAATGAGGATTATTAGCACTAGCACTAAAAACTGAAAATTCTGATCTCCAAAGAACCCTAGCTTCATGAGAGTTTATAATCCAGTAGTCACTAACTATACAAAGCATCTAAGGTCCCATGAGCATTAAACATATTCATGTAGTCAGTTCAGAATTATTTGTGGACTGGGCATCCATCCACTTTATGGCAATTAAGAATTTCCTTCCTGTGTTCCCCGACTAGAGTTATCTTCTACTATCATCCAGGACAGGATTTAGTCTTCAAGGTTGTGTTCTAGACTCAAAATATGTCAGTACAAGGTTGCCTTATAAAAATTTATTACCATTTTTGGTATCTACTATGGAGGTATTGATTCACTGAAGCTGCTTCAGACTTTTGAGCAATTGTAAGTCAAGGTAACTCAACCACCTAGTTCAATTCCCTTTAGGAATTTATAATTTCATGATCTGTATCTTTGAAACTAGAACTCTTCTAATAATGCGAAATAAAATTTTTGTGGGGATTTGAGACAAGACAGTTCCACCGTTACTGCAAATTAATACTAAAACCTGGGAAGATATATATTAAATAGCAAATTATCTATATACTCTTTTCAATCTTATTTGTTGTTCCAGGGGATATAATACTATACACATTAGGTAAAGTGTGCCCTAGATGTAATATGTCAATATGCCCAATAAATTAGAAAATAATTACATCTAAGATGTACTGGACTGTAATGATACATGATGGATTTAACACATTTATCACTGTCTCTAGAAATCCCACCATAACAGGTCAAGTCACTACCTAATAATCACTACTTGATCAACCAGTGTGGCACAATATTAAACTCCCACCCACATCCAGAGATCTCATTACACTTTTTAGTGCCTCAATCTTAAGACAACCAGCTTTTGAGACATTTTCATACATGTATACTGAAACAAAGGAAAACTTGTATCTCTAAGAGGCATGATGAAATACAAATTACCTAAGATGTAAAACATTTCACTTGAATTGATAGATCTAAGTTCCAGTTTGATGAAAACACAGGGGTCCATGTAAAATGCTTTATTATCAAGAACTAGACAACTCCACGAAGTGTAGGATACCTGGTCTTGTCTCTTTAACTAGAAAATATGAAAAGACAAACTCTTCTAGATTATAAGAAACCTAGAAGTTAAGAACCAATTTCAATATGTAGATTCTGGCTTGAAGAAACTACTAGCCATAAAGAACATTTTGTACCAAGTAGGAAAAGGTAAATATGGACTGGCATCAGATTTTACATTATACAGAAAATTATTTTTTACAATCCATAACAAAATAAACAAGGGCAGTAAATAAGTGAATAAATATATACTCAAAATAGGGAACCAAAACAAATGGAATAAAGGAACATAGAAGAAACAGAAAATACCAAGAATAGAAGTAAACATAATAGGAGAGAAATTTCATTCATGAAATAAGATGCTATAAAAAATTAAGAGAAAAGGAACTTAGAAATCAGTGCTTTAATAGTAGAAAAAATTTCAAAAATCAATACAATGGTCAGAAGACCAAGTTAGGGAAATCTCCGTAAAGTAGAAAAGTCAAAGATATGAAAAAATGAGAATAGAGAATATAATGAAGAGGTAAGTCTTGCAAATGTGACTTTATGTGATTCACTTACATGTGGAATCTAGAGAACAGGATAAATGAACAAACAAGTTCATAAATGCAGACAGCATTTTGAGGGTGGCTGGGTTGGAATGGTGTGGAGATAAATGAAGGGAGGAAGGGATTAAGAGGTACAAATTAGTAGTTACAAAATAGTCCTGGGATTACAGAGTACAGCATGGGAAATATAATCAGTACTATTGTAATAACTATGTATGATGTCAGATGGGTACTGGATTTAATCAAGGTGATCACTTCATAAGTTATATAAATGTCTAATCACTGTTGTACACCTGAAACATAATATTGTATGTCAACTATAACTGAATATATATATAATGTGTGTGTGTATATATATATCCATATATATATATGAATTTAAAAAGGATAAGGCTTGGAGGTTCAACCTCTGAATAACAGGCACAAAAATATGGACATAATTATAAAAATACTTCAAGAATAATATACAGAAAACAGGAACAAGAGTAAAGGGAAAAGAGGAGATTAAAGAAATACAAGATGAAGTAGGTAAAAACTGTCAAGAGTCCAGAAAGTGTAAATAATTGTGACAGGACTGTAAGATATTGTTTTTGACCTGTGCATTTAAAAAATAAACCAATAAACAGATAAGGAATCACGTATTCCCCAAGTAGAAAAATAGTTCTAATACCTGTAAGTCATGTTAATGTTTGACATTCTCAATGGTTCTTTCCATGGCAGGAGAAAGAACTAGATTTGAAGAATTTGCTTTTCAGCACACAGAATCAGGACCTCATAGGAATTTTACTGCTGTTACTAATGTCAATGTTATATCAAGAACCCAGAATTCATCATCACAGGTAGGTTTTTTGTATACTGAACTCTATAAAACTGCTTTATAGTTAAAACTGATTTGAAAAAAAATCATATTCTATTACCCCTATTTACTAGCACATATTAGCACATTTAGATCTTATTAGGAAGCAATAAATTCCATAAAATTTTTTTAGTAGGAAGCTAACTCTTCATTAATCCTTGGTTATGGCTTTTCTGTTAAAAATTTAAACTTTATCATAAGTATCTCTACTCCTTAATGTGAAGCTACATATTATCTTGCTAATAAGAACAAGCACCTGTGTTGTTCTTATTTGTTGTTGTTATTTGGTCAGAGTAGAAGTCAAAAAGTGAGAGGATTTAGGAAACAAGGGTGAAGCTTAGGGACCAGGAAGACATAAATGAAGATTGTAATAATGATCTTTACTAACTGGCTCTCCAAGTATTTCAGAGACTTTCCTAAGAAAAAGTGAGTTAAATGATCATTTCATTGACATTTAGGGTGCCTTATAGTAATCTTTCCTGGTAAGTTTTACATTTTAAGGCATTCCTATTTTTACGGTTATAAATAGGTTTGTAAGTGTGCATGCACAAATGTACGCTGTACACGTGCCAAAAAAAAAAAAAAAAAGATTGTACTGGTTTACAGAAGATAGGTATGCTTTCTTATTTTTCTCAACATTTTATAGTCAGACTTTTAATAATATATTTATATAACTTACATAACAGGTACAAGCCATACTATCTTTATATAACTCATGAGAATATAATCACATAACTAGGTACTACTGTAACTATTTTGCT